CGTAGCCACGCCCACTTATGGTTACATGTGTATATCTTGGTAACCGCAGCACCAATTTCTTCCAAACTTGGCACAGTTGTTGGCCTTCGCATAACATACCAAATGGCCGAAAATTTTTAAAATCGCTCAATAACCACGCCTACTTCCCATATAACGGTAATTTTCAGAAATACGAAAACTGCAATATTTTAGTAACTACTGGAGATTATTCACTCAAAATTGATATTTATAATAAGTTTTAGACGAAAAATAAGAATATTATAAATTTTTGGAAAATGGGCGTAGCCACGCCCACTTATGATTACATGTGTATATCTTGGTAACCGCTACACCAATTTCTTCCAAACTTGGCACAGTTGTTGGCCTTGGTACAGCATAAAAAACCGCCGAAACTTTTTAAAATCGGACAATAACCACGCCCACATCCCTTATAACGGTAATTTAGAGATATACAAAATCTTCGATAAATCATTAAATATTGAAGCTAATTTTTTCAAAATTGATGCTTGCAACAATTCTTTACCAAGAAATACGTTTATGGTAAAATTTTGGAAAATGGGAGTGGCACCGCCCACTTATGATCACATATAAGTATACCGGTAACCGTTCTACCAATTTGTACCAAACTCGGTATGGTTATTGTACTTGCCACGTGTAAGCAAAACGTTGAAAATTATTGAAATCGGACTAATATAACGGCCGATTCTCATATAACGGTAAATTTAAGAAATGCTTGAATCTTCAATATTTCGAAATTGAAGGACGCTAATTTACTCAAAATTGTTACAACTCGGCTTACCATCTAGCGGAAGGTTTCGGAAGGGTGAAAAAACATATATTTAATACTTGCGCCGGGTATTTAATGTTCGGCTCCGCCCGAACTTAGCCTTTCTTACTTGTTATATATAAAATTTAAGTTAGTAAAGATTTAAATTAAATGTAAAATGAAATTAAATAAACACCGGGAGGTAAAAATTTGTATTAAAAAATTAAGAAATAAAGTAAGTTAAAATAAGAAAATCCAGCAAAACCAAAATTATATGAAGAGTAATGAACGTCTATAAAATTAAATATTAAAAAACAAATATAATTAACACATTCTCAAAAAAAAAACGAAAAAACCAACGCACCATTTAATGAAATATAGAAATTAACAAGTTAAAATGTAATAAAATAAACGAAGAAAATCAAGCAAAACCGAAATTACACAAAGAAAAAAATTTAAGTAAAACTCAACAAAATTAATAAAAATTAATTCAGTTTACACTAAAACTCATAATGTATTGGGAATTAAAATAAAAAGTAAAATGAAATGAGATGCCGCCTACAGGGCCACGCTGCGATCGGGCGCAACGCGAGCCATGTGGGACCGTTATAGGGAACTGAAGAAGGAAGCGAGACGTATTTGCCGCAATAAGAAGAGAGAGGCCGAAATTCGTGAGTGCGAAGAGCTTGAGATGCTGGCCGACAGGAAGAACGCCCG